TCGACGAATGGGCTCCTGCGCAATAAAATGAATATTCGGGAAGTATCGAGGCCACCGTAGAGGGGTACATCTCTCGACGGTGGTCGAGCAATTCCATGTAGGATTGCAACGGGTAGTTACAGGCAATAGTAAACAACAGGAAGTTTCTGTTTCCACAACGTGATTACCTGTAAGAAAACTAAGCTTTTCTTCGATGAGTGTGAAACTTTCGTCTCAGACATGTCAATTCTCCCTACAAAAGTGCCTACTACACAGCATAGCTGAGACCAGAGGAGACTGTAGGAAAAGTGATCAAATGAAATCCATACTCAGGTGTCATTCGGCTGCAAGAACCCGGTATGTTAATATTGTTACTCTTCATAGAAATTATGCTGCCTGCAATTGGTTTGTCATTATAATCACAAATATTTAAATCAGTACAATTATCTTGATAAATCTGACTAGCTACACTACCAGTACTAAAGCGGAGTTGGGGTTGCTTATGTGCAGCCGCAGTGAACTAGGTTTCAGGAACCCTCACCCTATTTTCTTCACCTTGTGACTGAGTGGGCTGGTCAACTACATAGAACTATATTTTAACACGAAATAAAAGCTTACTATCAACATTCATGCCACTTGTTGGAATCCATCCGATGCCACTGTACTCATATTCACTTACCTGAGTCATTTCCGTTGCCTCGCTTCACATCTTTTCCGAACAAATCCATCGAGTTCAGCTGTCTGTTGGTAAAGTTGAGCAATTCCTTAGTCGATATATTTTTGTTTCCCAATTTAACGACCCATGTTGTTTCCACGATTTCATCATCATCTGGATAACAAGCAACACAGACATTCACAATACGAGGCGAAACCAAATCAAAAATGCAGGTACTCAGAATATGCATGGAAATAATGAGGATACACAAACTACCACCCGAATGACTGAAGACCGACCTACAGCTAACTGCAGATCCTATCACTGACCGTCGTTCAACTACACTGCACCTATCGATTTACTTGTTTTGTGTCTTACTACACCGTAAGTCAATAGCCACATTCAGCCACTGCCTCTGTTTGAAGACTAAAACTTGTCAGCTAACTGACATCCCAAACAACCTCTAAATTCTTTGTAGCAATATCAGCATAAATGATAGGACTGACAGACCAAATTTGAACTTGATTATCCTCGAGTGCAACTCATATAGAAGTGCATCATATATCAGTGTGTGATGAGAACTTGTAGTATAGAGACCGATGAATTCGATTATGTGTAGCGGTGAACAGAGTCATCTGACGCCAATCGTCGAAACAGCTACTAGAAATCTGTCTTCTGACGTCGCCATACTTAGACATATTCGACTGGTTGGAGACAGGTGCCAGTATACTCTTGGTGAAGGTGTCAGCAATAAAATGTCACACAGGGTGAGGAATGCAACAATATAATAGTTATTTCTTGCTTACAGTAGTCGTCTGTTGAGTTCGATTGTGCCTTTTCATTGTACTTGACAGTCTTCTTCATAATCGGTTCGAACTGACTCCTTGATTTCCACCCACGTTTGCTGCTTGATTTCTTTGAACCCCGTTTCCATTCTTTTGATGTGTCGCCATCTTTGGTATCTTCATAGTGATCCAAGTCATCACCTGTGGCTAAGAGGGATAAACACAGAGACCATATTGACCAAAAGTTGCATTTCAACTGAAAACTTGTAGACAGCATCTCTTTAGGTCGTCTTATGCCAATCAAAATACATCTAGGGCACTTCAAACTCACTTCTGTATCTGTCAGCAAAGTGTCTACTAACAACATGACCTAGGAATTTCTATATCTGCCTACTATCGAAATGCATGTATGTCTAATACTCACTGTGTCTCTCGATTTCGTGAAACTGTCACTTCAATTATTTGGTAAAACTGTGATCCATTCAACCGAACTGCTGATGATTATCTTAACCCTTTTAGGAGAAACAATCTGTCGACAGAAGTCTGCGACATCTGTGGTGCTAAAGATATTGTGCAAAGTTTTGTGCAAATTACAATCAATTTCGACTGGCTTCTGTTGAACTTACTCACTTGCAACACTCAGATGAAGGTGTGAAATGTTTTCTGAAGTCTGACTGATATGATGCAGCCACATCTCTTATATTTCACTGAGTAATTTGTCAATGAGAGAGATGAGCTGGTATAGTGTGTATTGTTGGTGTCACTGACATGCGTGTTGCTGTTTGTGTCAGTTGGTCTAAATGTGAAGTTGTGTTTTAATGTGTAGAACATTGTAGCTTCGTTTGTTTTACTGATCAGTGCGTGTACGTGTACGATCAGTTGTCAAGTGGTAATGTGAATAAGTGTAGCAGGTCTGTGCTCGATAAAGATGATCATTTATGTGTTATGCTTTGTATTCAGCGGATATTCGTCGTAATATTCGGTTGTTTCCAAGTAGGCATTTATGCGAGTATTTGCAACTAGGCAGTGGGCAATTCACACTCCTTTGTAGATTGCAAGTTATTTGGTCCATTCTTTTGCAAGCTGAGTGGACTCCTTATATTTACGAGAAATGTTGTTTTCCCTTGACCTGAAACTTCTAGCGATTGAAGAATTACTGAAATACAACTTTGTTTTGAGGGAGTTTATTCCCTGACACAGCTGATTCTTTGTGGTATCTGTGAAATTATGACTATTTTTCTCTCTCACAGTAGTCCACACGTCTCAGGGAGAATTTTCTACGTAAGATATATTCATTTGTTTTGAAACTAGTCTCGATTTATGGACATACCGTATGTTGGATTCAGTAAGATGCATGGGACAGATTAGGTTTCTTTATGAAGTAAGATGTTGTACGTGTGCAGTTCGGTTGGTGAATCGTCTCATTTTTGAGACTGACAGTTGGTGGTTCAAAGGAGGACAGACCAATTTAATGGGAACCCCCATATTTCACATGCCATCGGCACTGGACATCGAGTTCATTGCAGCGGAGTTCACAAATTTATTCGTCATATTACATCTAGTTCCAAATTCCTCTCAATAATTCAAACTTTCCCGCACCAGAAGCAATATAAGCACATATGAACGATTCAATTTCACTTGCTTCACCTGTCTTCACTGAATGATGCATCTAATAAATCAACTACTCAGGTGCCTAAGCTTTATTTTTATATCCATCTGAACAAGTCAAGCTTGTGCGTTCGACTGACATTTGTGCAGCTACCTTCCTTGCACTACCGACCAGCACATCAACTACGCATAAGTGACGCCTCCATCAACTCAACTTTTAAATTTTATTCTTATTCTTCCTCCTTCTACACTCAGTAGGCTTACATGATAGATAGCAGGAATCGACCACCAGAAGAAATCGCTTACTCTTCCTAGCCATCAGCATTATGTCAAATTTCATTTGAGAAACAGCTTGCTACAATTGACTCAAATTTGCTATGCGTGATAATTTTATTCCTTGACTACAGTTCTTATTTCTTGGCTTAATCGTCATCTTTTCAGTGTCTCATTTTCGACATTCTTTAATCAGCTTACCCCACATCACTAGGTTAATACGTTGGTTTCCTATAATGGGTCGGATTGATAGAGTTTTGTCGACGAATGGGCTCCTGCGCAATAAAATGAATATTCGGGAAGTATCGAGGCCACCGTAGAGGGGTACATCTCTCGACGGTGGTCGAGCAATTCCATGTAGGATTGCAACGGGTAGTTACAGGCAATAGTAAACAACAGGAAGTTTCTGTTTCCACAACGCGATTACCTGTAAGAAAACTAAGCTGTTCTTCGATGAGTGTGAAACTTTCGTCTCAGACATGTCAATTCTCCCTACAAAAGTGCCTACTACACAGCATAGCTGAGACCAGAGGAGACTGTAGGAAAAGTGATCAAATGAAATCCATACTCAGGTGTCATTCGGCTGCAAGAACCCGGTATGTTAATATTGTTACTCTTCATAGAAATTATGCTGCCTGCAATTGGTTTGTCATTATAATCACAAATATTTAAATCAGTACAATTATCTTGATAAATCTGACTAGCTACACTACCAGTACTAAAGCGGAGTTGGGGTTGCTTATGTGCAGCCGCAGTGAACTAGGTTTCAGGAACCCTCACCCTATTTTCTTCACCTTGTGACTGAGTGGGCTGGTCAACTACATAGAACTATATTTTAACACGAAATAAAAGCTTACTATCAACATTCATGCCACTTGTTGGAATCCATCCGATGCCACTGTACTCATATTCACTTACCTGAGTCATTTCCGTTGCCTCGCTTCACATCTTTTCCGAACAAATCCATCGAGTTCAGCTGTCTATTGGCAAAGTTGAGCAATTCCTTAGTCGATATATTTTTGTTTCCCAATTTAACGACCCATGTTGTTTCCACGATTTCATCATCATCTGGATAACAAGCAACACAGACATTCACAATACGAGGCGAAACCAAATCAAAAATGCAGGTACTCAGAATATGCATGGAAATAATGAGGATACACAAACTACCACCCGAATGACTGAAGACCGACCTACAGCTAACTGCAGATCCTATCACTGACCGTCGTTCAACTACACTGCACCTATCGATTTACTTGTTTTGTGTCTTACTACACCGTAAGTCAATAGCCACATTCAGCCACTGCCTCTGTTTGAAGACTAAAACTTGTCAGCTAACTGACATCCCAAACAACCTCTAAATTCTTTGTAGCAATATCAGCATAAATGATAGGACTGACAGACCAAATTTGAACTTGATTATCCTCGAGTGCAACTCATATAGAAGTGCATCATATATCAGTGTGTGATGAGAACTTGAAGTATAGAGACCGATGAATTCGATTATGTGTAGCGGTGAACAGAGTCATCTGACGCCAATCGTCGAAACAGCTACTAGAAATCTGTCTTCTGACGTCGCCATACTTAGACATATTCGACTGGTTGGAGACAGGTGCCAGTATACTCTTGGTGAAGGTGTCAGCAATAAAATGTCACACAGGGTGAGGAATGCAACAATATAATAGTTATTTCTTGCTTACAGTAGTCGTCTGTTGAGTTCGATTGTGCCTTTTCATTGTACTTGACAGTCTTCTTCATAATCGGTTCGAACTGACTCCTTGATTTCCACCCACGTTTGCTGCTTGATTTCTTTGAACCCCGTTTCCATTCTTTTGATGTGTCGCCATCTTTGGTATCTTCATAGTGATCCAAGTCATCACCTGTGGCTAAGAGGGATAAACACAGAGACCATATTGACCAAAAGTTGCATTTCAACTGAAAACTTGTAGACAGCATCTCTTTAGGTCGTCTTATGCCAATCAAAATACATCTAGGGCACTTCAAACTCACTTCTGTATCTGTCAGCAAAGTGTCTACTAACAACATGACCTAGGAATTTCGATATCTGCCTACTATCGAAATGCATGTATGTCTAATACTCACTGTGTCTCTCGATTTCGTGAAACTGTCACTTCAATTATTTGGTAAAACTGTGATCCATTCAACCGAACTGCTGATGATTATCTTAACCCTTTTAGGAGAAACAATCTGTCGACAGAAGTCTGCGACATCTGTGGTGCTAAAGATATTGTGCAAAGTTTTGTGCAAATTACAATCAATTTCGACTGGCTTCTGTTGAACTTACTCACTTGCAACACTCAGATGAAGGTGTGAAATGTTTTCTGAAGTCTGACTGATATGATGCAGCCACATCTCTTATATTTCACTGAGTAATTTGTCAATGAGAGAGATGAGCTGGTATAGTGTGTATTGTTGGTGTCACTGACATGCGTGTTGCTGTTTGTGTCAGTTGGTCTAAATGTGAAGTTGTGTTTTAATGTGTAGAACATTGTAGCTTCGTTTGTTTTACTGATCAGTGCGTGTACGTGTACGATCAGTTGTCAAGTGGTAATGTGAATAAGTGTAGCAGGTCTGTGCTCGATAAAGATGATCATTTATGTGTTATGCTTTGTATTCAGCGGATATTCGTCGTAATATTCGGTTGTTTCCAAGTAGGCATTTATGCGAGTATTTGCAACTAGGCAGTGGGCAATTCACACTCCTTTGTAGATTGCAAGTTATTTGGTCCATTCTTTTGCAAGCTGAGTGGACTCCTTATATTTACGAGAAATGTTGTTTTCCCTTGACCTGAAACTTCTAGCGATTGAAGAATTACTGAAATACAACTTTGTTTTGAGGGAGTTTATTCCCTGACACAGCTGATTCTTTGTGGTATCTGTGAAATTATGACTATTTTTCTCTCTCACAGTAGTCCACACGTCTCAGGGAGAATTTTCTACGTAAGATATATTCATTTGTTTTGAAACTAGTCTCGATTTATGGACATACCGTATGTTGGATTCAGTAAGATGCATGGGACAGATTAGGTTTCTTTATGAAGTAAGATGTTGTACGTGTGCAGTTCGGTTGGTGAATCGTCTCATTTTTGAGACTGACAGTTGGTGGTTCAAAGGAGGACAGACCAATTTAATGGGAACCCCCATATTTCACATGCCATCGGCACTGGACATCGAGTTCATTGCAGCGGAGTTCACAAATTTATTCGTCATATTACATCTAGTTCCAAATTCCTCTCAATAATTCAAACTTTCCCGCACCAGAAGCAATATAAGCACATATGAACGATTCAATTTCACTTGCTTCACCTGTCTTCACTGAATGATGCATCTAATAAATCAACTACTCAGGTGCCTAAGCTTTATTTTTATATCCATCTGAACAAGTCAAGCTTGTGCGTTCGACTGACATTTGTGCAGCTACCTTCCTTGCACTACCGACCAGCACATCAACTACGCATAAGTGACGCCTCCATCAACTCAACTTTTAAATTTTATTCTTATTCTTCCTCCTTCTACACTCAGTAGGCTTACATGATAGATAGCAGGAATCGACCACCAGAAGAAATCGCTTACTCTTCCTAGCCATCAGCATTATGTCAAATTTCATTTGAGAAACAGCTTGCTACAATTGACTCAAATTTGCTATGCGTGATAATTTTATTCCTTGACTACAGTTCTTATTTCTTGGCTTAATCGTCATCTTTTCAGTGTCTCATTTTCGACATTCTTTAATCAGCTTACCCCACATCACTAGGTTAATACGTTGGTTTCCTATAATGGGTCGGATTGATAGAGTTTTGTCGACGAATGGGCTCCTGCGCAATAAAATGAATATTCGGGAAGTATCGAGGCCACCGTAGAGGGACGCATCTGCGGTTGTTAATGCCTCTATTCGAAGGTTTTTTATGCTGTGTCTGTTATGTAGACGCCGAATATCTTCCGTTTTCTTACGAGTGATTTATTGAGCATTATTTATGCTTTCGCGCCTTACTTGGTGTCTAGCGTGTGATTATTTTTATTGACTCCTTGATTTGCGGCTTAGCTAGCCTTAGCGAGCATTTATCAATCTCGTCTTCAGTTTTTTTATTTTTATTGCTAGTGGAGTCTTCTTTTATGGAACAGCTTATCTGGTTTACCTGGTAGCATGCTTGTTGATAGCCTTTCTTTTCTTGATCTATATAATAAATATGAGGTGTGTGTTAATGCAGGGATGCGATTAGAAATTTAACACTTATTCCATGACAGTGGATATAGAGAAGAAGGAAGATTATCCGACCGGCACGATCCATGAATGTTTACAGATCGTACAGACTGAATTGCATGCTGGTGATAAATTTTGATAAATAGATGAGATGTATGTGTGAAAAATTGGGTGGGATTTAAACTCAGTACAGAAATAAAACTATTCTATTGGTTGAAGTTGAGACTTTCAGTGTGTTTGCGGAATTTCAATGAAAGATTTTGTTGGTGCATCACAAATCAGACAAATTTATATAAGTATTGAGAAGTGGGATCAAGAGAAAGAAGTCATTGAAAGCTGAGAATAGAGGAGAGAATGGAAGGGACACTATTTGTACGAGAGTTTGTTGTAGAAAGTGTACAAAAATGGAGACAGGATGCCTATGAGTAATGTCAACTGGATTGAGTGAATTCATAGTTGAATATGCATATTCGACAAAACAGTGGGACGGCTGCAATGAAAATGAAGATGATAGTGAACTCCATTTTCAGTTAATGTGGCAAAAGCGATACCCGTCCTGGTGAAATGACCAGGTGGATGAATGAAACTGGAGTTGGTGTTGATGTATCTGAGTAGGTGTTGTGTTTTCACGATAGGAAGTCAGCTAAGAATCTTTCACCTTTGAATATTTTAATTTTTTTTACGTGGATAACAAGCTTCAGATTTGCCTTGGACTTTAATGTAGTTTTTTTGTGAATGTTTTGCTGCTTCTAATGTAATAATGTTGCATATACTGAAAGGAATTGACTTGATCTCTGATGATTTTAATTGAAAAATATATTTTCAGAAAGTCTATCACCAACTCTTCATATAGAATGCCGAAGTATATGTGCTTGTCGTTTTCAAAGGATGATGGATAATTTGGTCAAATATTTACCCCCATTCGTAGATAAATACACAGCAATGTCTGCTGCAATTCTCTCAGACGCTTGAATTTCTTCATTGAAGTCATTTTATATAGGTTACTGTCATCAATTTATTGTCTAGAGTTAGTACTTATTTGTTTGCACAACTAGGGTTCACATACAACTCTGAAAACATGTGGTTTCAGGTTATGTATTTTCTAAAACCATTAGCAGTGTCCTGAGTAAATATGCTGTGGTTTCAAAAATTATGGCTGAGATGCAGACAGTGATATGAATTTAAAGACGATATGATGATTGGAAATCCAGATCTCGATATTTCTCATTTGAAACTGATTGATGAACTGTAAATAAAGTGACGTTTTCCTTGATTATTATGTTGGTTGAAAATGCATGACGAAGTTATGAAACGTGAGAGTGGCAGCTTCCCGTAGAAAGCGTTACACACGGCAAACTGCAATATCAGATTTTCACCACAAAAAGTCAGAGAAAATGTTAAGGTTATGTTGACAAAGTGACATGTCCTCAAAAATAATGTTGACAGTAGACGTCAAAAATCAGACTTAGATATCTTCTTGATTAAAGTCGCTTTATACGTACGTACAGAAATGGGAGACATGACGCCTAGCACCAAGAAACACAGCATAAAAAAATCAAAAAAAACAAAATTTGAAGACATCGATAAATTTCACAATGCTGAATAAAACAGAATCGAGCGAGAAAGAAAGAAAGAATCATAAGTAAAGCCAAGTAAGGAACAACGGGACTCGAAAGAACAAGAAACAGGAGGAAAAAAGTGAAAGGGAAACAAAGCAAACAGGAGAAAGAACAGAGGAAATCAAAAGACAGAACAGAGCATAGGGACAAGATCAGGACTAAGGAAAACAAAAAATGCAAACAATTAGTGGGAGAGAAAAAGACATAAAGTCATTGAGAATAGGTGTTATGAAATGTATCAGAAATACCGAGGGGTAAATGCGTGGTTTCCATGTGTGTCAATCTCAGAAGTAGATCGAGTGACAGCGCCTGCGATCGTGCCTCTGACCGATCTAATTCATGCGTTTCTGTGCGCGTGAATAGGCACAGATGGGCGTTGTGCGTGATGACGGACAAGTGAGCGTATGAGTGTGAACAGGTATGGGTGTATCTCTCGACAATGCGTGATACTGCATCATATGAGTGACTGTGAGCTGTCATCAGTAAGTGAAGTGCTAACCTGTGACTGAATCTTTCACAAAATATCGGCGAAAAATATCATAGAATAAAAATGAATGCGAGAAACAATCCAAGGCAAATATATGTGTAGGCGGGAGGAACTAATTAGAATTTCACTGTCCGGAAAAGTAAATCTGGGGGAGAAAGAGTATAAGTGGGCGGCCGGAAAAGATGTGCATACAAACCAAAAATTCAGCGTGTGAACAAGCTAGTGAGTGAGTCAGTGATTGACTGGGTACTTGCGTGTGTATGCGCTTGTGCTCCACAGTCAGTCGTATTGTCAGTGTGATGAATGAGATTGATGATTTGTATGAGACATACCGAGTGGTTGGTGTGTGGTTGATCGTCTCCTCCTGCTTCGGCCTGTGGCCACCACCTTTCCCAACTTGTCGGTCACGTTGACGACTTCTCCTTCCTCCGGTGTCGTCGATCCACCTGCAAGGGAGAAGGGGGAGACTGTGTCAGCGTGTGGCTTGCTGTCTTTGCATGTGTATTTGCATGTGCCTGAGTGCCAGTGTCTCTGCATATATCTTCACGGAGGATGGAGA